GCGGATAGAGAAAATCAGCGCCATGGTAAGGGATGGGAGGGAGGGGTAGGACGTCAGATATGACGCGAGCGCACCTAGCTTGTCCCCCCTCCCCTCCCTCTCCTCCCCCTGCTCCCTCCCTCTCCCCCCCCTGCCCCCTTTCCCCCTCCCTCCCTCCCCCCTCCCTCGCCCCCTCCCTCCCCCCTCCCCTCCCTCTCCTCCCCCTCCCCCCTCCCTCTGCCCCCTCCTCTCCCCCGGCCCTTCCCCCTCCTCTCCTCGTGGTTGCGGGGCGAGGCGTCCGGCCTCTGGGGGCGGCTGATTGCCGCGCCGGAGCACTCTGGCACCGCCCCTCCTGCGCAGGTCGCGCGCGGAGAGGCCAGGAAGGTCGCGCCAGTTTGGGAGGTTGCTGGCCACGTTCTCCGAGCTTTGATGTCCCCAAGATGTGTCGGGCTTCGCGCTCGTTCGCAGCCCCCATCCATGTCTCTCAGGCGGTTCGGCTTCGGCTGTGCACCGCCGCCTGTTGCACCAGGAGTTGTGTCCTGCTGCACCGCTTGCTCCTTCCCGCTCCTTTCTTTCTTCCTCTTCCTTTCTTTATTTATTCCTCTTCCTCTTCCTCTTCCTTTCTTTCTTCCTCTTCCTCTTCCTTTCTTTCTTCCTCTTGCTTTCTGTTTTCTTTCCATTCGCAGCAGAGCTCACTGCGCCCCACCGTGCGGCTGAGGAGTGCAGCCGCGGCGAGCCTTGGCTGCCGCCCCGCCCTGCGCGCCCTGCCCGCGCGGCTCGTGGTGTTTGTGCTGTTTCCCTCCTCGACCTCCTGCTCCTCCTCCTCCTCCTCCTCCTCCTCCTCCTGCTCCTCCTCCTCCCTTCTGCTTCAGCGTGCCCGGGCTGTGCTTGACCAGTTCGCGTCGAGTGTCAGCCGCCGCTCGGCCACATCAGGCATCTTGCTCGCTCTCCCTCACTGCCTCCCTTGCGCTCTCTCCTCCTCGCCCTCTCCTCTCGTGTCGCATGCGGCGCGCTCGCGCACGCGTCAGGCCACGGTGCAATTCACGCGCTTGCCCATCGCAGGTCGGTTCGTGTGGTGTTTCTGATTTGCCCAGCGACCTGTTGATTCGTACAGCGGTCGGGGTTGAGTCGGGTGAAGCTCTGTAGACGCGCTCCCCCTCAACAGAACTATCCAGGCGAAGGACCCAACCATATGCGGGCGTGAGTGCCGCAAGGCAGGTGGGACGCAGGAGGGGCAGGCCCTTCTGGGGCCATGGAACGTGCAAGGGGTGTACCAACATGGTTGCGGGGCCGCCATGCAGACACTGCCGCTGGGGCCTTCGGTGGAGCTCCCGATGTGGGGCCACGAAACGTGTGAGGGGCGTACCGAAAAGGGACCCTGCCACAGGGGCCTTCGGGAGAGCTCCCTATGGGGCCGCGAAGCGCGTGAGGGGTGTGCCGAAATCAGTGCGGGACCGCCGTGCCAACGCTGCCGTCGGGGCCTTCGGTGGAGCTCCTTGGGAGACCACGAAACGTGTGAGGGGTGTGCCAACATGAGTGCGGGGCCGCCGTGCAGACACTGCCGCTGGGGCCTTCGGTGGAACTCCCGATGTGGGGCCACGAAACGTGTGAGGGGCGTGGAAATAGATGCGGGGCCGCCATGTGGACCCTGCCACTGGGGCCGCCTCCGGTCAAACTCCTTACGAGACCACGAAGCGCGTGAGGGGTGTGCCGACAGGAGTGCTCGGGCCCCGTGCGGACCCTGCCACTGGGCCCGTCGGTAGAGTTCCCAATGGGGCCACGAGGCGTGCGAGGGGTGTGCCGGCATGGGCATGGGGCCGCCAGGCGGGCCCTGCAGCTGGGGCCTTCGGTGGGGGCCGCGAGGCGTGTGAGGGGTGTGCCGAAATGGGCACCGGGAGGGCAGAGGCAGGGATGGGAGGAGGAGGGGAGGAGGGAGGTGGCGGGAGGAAGCACGCGGGGCGCTGTCTCTTCATAGCGGGGACCCAACACCACAGGATGGTTGGGGGGGAAAGACGGCGGCAAAATCGCCACGAAGGCACTCACAGGTGCAGTTGTGGGTGTCCTGGGTGCCGTAATCTTACATGTTGTTCGCTCCTCCGGAGGAGTCCAGGGGGGCGCCACTCGAGGCAGAGCCGGCCCTCTCGAGCAGCGGCTTCGTGACGTTTGCGCGCCGACAGGATATGATGGGCCTGTTTTCCACCACCACCACCATAAGTTGAAGGGGGAGGGGGTCCCTTTCCTCATCCTCCTCCTCATCCTCCTCCTCATCCTCCTCCTGCTCTTCGTCCTCCTTCTCCTTCTCCTACTCCTCCTCCTCGTCCTCCACCTCCTTCCCCCTTCCAACTTATGGTAGTGGTGGTGGAAGACATGCCAAACAGGATGCTTTGGCGTCCTTCGGGGCGAGGGACGCTGGGGTGAACGTCCGCGGGCTCGACATCGCCCAGGCGCCAGGGCCGGACGACGTCATCTATGCGGATCTGCGGAGCGATGCGCACAAGAACAGGCCCTGGAAGGTCGCTGCAGGGTACGTCCTGCTGGTGGCCGTGTTTCTGTTCTACTTCCCCCTTGTCCTCCTGGTCATGCCCATGGCGAACCTGAGCAGGATGGAGAGCTACGCGCCCGCGATGGCGTCGACGATCCGGAGCGTCAGCATGGTCGCGCACGTGTGGGACGGCGTCATGGACTCGTTCCTGCTCAATATCCTGATGAGCTTTCTGCCGGCGTGCGTGATGTTCATCATTCGCAGGTGATTGTTTTCTTATTCAGTGTTTTGCCGATCGGCGCGGGCTCTCGCAACCCCCCTCCCCCCCATGGAGTAGATCCTGGCTGTTTTTGGCACCTGTTTCGAGCAGGTGGAGTCTGCCCCATAGGACGCACTGTTCCAAACAGTCGCACTGAGCAGACGCCCAGAGCCAGACCCCCCCCCCTCCCCCCCCTTCCGCCCAATGTCGAAACGCAGAATAAGAAAGCGCTCACCAGGTTCTTGTGCCTGGCCTCTCACTCGCGCCAGCAGCACGCGCTGCAGCGCTGGTACTACTGGTTCCTCGTCCTCTTCGTGCTGCTCGTGCACGCCATCGGCGCCTCCCTGCTGGGCACCGGGCTGGTGCTGCTGAGGGACCCCCTGTCCTTCTTCCCGCTGCTGGGCGACAGCCTCCCCAAGGTCTGCCACTTCTAGGGGAACGAACAATGACATACACAGAAACACTCGGAGGTCCGCGCGGATTTCTCGGATCGGCGCTGGGGCCCCCTGGCGGCGCCTCCGGCGCCGCCCCTGACGCGCTCCGCGAGCCAGGGAGGGGGGTCCAGCGCGGATCCGAGAAATCCGCGCGAACCTCCGAGTTTTTATGTTTATGTCATTGTTCGTTCCCCTAACTTCTACCTGAACTTCCTGGCTGCCCAGTGGGCCGTGCAGTCCATGGAAGCGATGCGGATACCGAACCTGCTCAAGTTCCTCTACTACCGCAGGAGGTATTCGAAATAGGAAGAAACAACTAGAAAACACTACACACGCATACGGTGGGGGCGTTGGTTAATGAGTGTGCGAAGTAGGCTTCGGCCCCTGGAGGATTCCTGATCTGAGGATGGCGGCGGTGATATCCATGGCCAGTCCACGACTGGAGTTCCACTGGCTTCCAGACCCTGGAGTCCTTATCCACTGGTTCATTATCCAATGCCCTCGCCGTTTTCGACAGAGGAATAATTACACATCCATGAGCTGAAATCGGGCATGTCCCTCTACAGGAGGAATATTCAAAAATAATCGAACATTGTCTGGGGACGATTTTTCTTACTATGTTGACCATTTTTGACTTGTTTCCCTTATCAGTGCTTGCACTCAAGAGGTCCCAGCGGAAGTTGAAAGATTTGGCGAAAGTTTCCCGCCGAGTTTGGTAGCAGGCTTGGTTCCCGGGTTCCTGGTTCTGGGTTCCCGGGTTCCCGGGTTCCCGGTTATTGGTTCTGGGCCGATTTGGGTGGG